TATAATTCTGTTAGTGTCATTATTGTTTGTTCCATCGATTAGTTGAGATTGACAATATATGCCTACTGATAAAGTGTGTTTCTCTTACAGATGATCACAGTCGTATTGTGCTTCAGTCCAGTCTTAATGGTAGTAAACTCGGTTCAGACTATATTAATGCGTGTTATATACAGGCAAGTTTATTATTATTAATATTTTCAATATTATTATTATCATTATTTTATTATTATTATTATTATTATTATTATTATTATTATATTTTATTTTTGTTGTTAGTATCTTTTTTGTTGTATTTAATGTTACAGTTATGCTGTTATTATATACTTATTTTGATACTAACTACCATAAACATTATTATTATTATTATTATCATTATTATTATTTTTAAGATCAAAATTAAACAGGCTGAATTTGCTTGTTTTACATGAAACATAGTTTTTTTTTTCCTAACAGGGTTATAATGACCCACAGCGATTCATAGCAGCACAAGGCCCAAATCAAACAACGGTGGAAGATTTCTGGAAGCTTGTCTGGCAGGAAAACGTACATATGATTATTATGCTGACGAATCTAGTCGAGATTGGCAAAGTTAGTATTGATTTTTATCACAATCACCGGTCAAAATTTTCAGTAGATAGAACCGATACAAAATAGACAACTGCCAACATAACTACTCGTTCAGACATCTTTTTTGGCACTTAGTAAAACTCTGTCTACACTATCAAATTTTATGGGACAAATGTGTGTGATGGGAACATATGGGCATGATATTTACACCATTATATTGGCATGAATTTGAATTCAGGATGTGTCACACAACTGCTAGACGTATACATCCTCTAAATTGTTCCATCTTTCTCTGCCCTTGGCTATACAGACATCCACCTTAAAGTGTTTGCCTTTATGTCATCCATCCATCTTCTGTTTGGTCGTCGCCTCTTCCTTTTCCCTCTCTTAGCATATCATTTATTAAAATAAAGTTAGATAGTGCGGCAGACAGAGACTTTATAAAGTGTGCAGGCTCCTAAACGTATAAATTTATCTTATTTTCTTATTACAGTTTTGATACATTGATTGTTTTAAACATATTAAAACACACAATATTTGTTATAAAAATTAATTTCTTTCTTCAAAATAAAAGAGGAAATGTGTTCAATACTGGCCAGATTCATTCAGTGCGTTATATGGTGACATTGCGGTAACCTTCACCAATGCTGTTGAACTATCAAGTTATGACATAAAAACCTTCAAAGTATACAAGGTAGGCTCATTTCATATACAAACAGCAATCAAAACGCAAACAGCCGATCCCTTATTTGTTTACTGACGTGTGTCACAAATATAATAAAGTCACACAATACAATATTATGTTATCATTCACATTGTAATTTCAAGGAATTTTAACTCCAGTCCTTTGTTATTTATATGGTAGGTAGTCTCTAATTTTAAGTTCCGGGTG